CAGGGCTTTGAATTGAGCACCACATTGTGAGAATCAGAGGAGATATGGTGGAGATACAAGGCTTACAAAATCATGACTCATGCGGACAGTTTTTTGAGCACATATTAAAACTATATAAATCATCATTTATGACACCATAACAATCATGCCACCATTAAATAAATTATAAAGTGGTGTCATTATGTCATTTTAAAACCATATCTAACTATACAAACCAAAAATTTCCATATGTCATGGTTATATTCACCATGAAAGCCACCCCCCCTGCTCAAAGGGATAATATCCTTTCTCTTTCCTATTCTGGCCTCTCTGCTTGTCAAATTTCCTCTAGAACTGGAGTATCCAAGTCCACTGTGGCCAAGTTCATCAAAGAAAGTCACACAGACAAGGAGAACTTCTGTGAAGGGCGTCCATCCAAGCTCACCTCTACTGATAGGAGGGCTATTATTCAACATATCACTACAGGAAAGGCTGATAATGCTGTCCAGGTCACCTATTACATCAATTCCACCATCACATTCCCTGTCTCTTCACACACTGTGAGAAACATTCTCAAGACAGCTCATCTCAGGTCAGTAACAAGGAAGAAAAGGCTCTCCTCTCTATCACACATATGCAGAGAGGACTAGCACCCTTCATTTTTCACATATATACCTTGCCATCTGACCCAATCCTATTTATTGTGGTCTTATATGATCATATAACATGCTTCCAGTCCATGTAATCCAATTCTGATGGGCTAAGGCAAAGGTTAGTCATCTCTGCATATGTGTGATAGAGAGGAGAGCCTTTTCTTCCTTGTTACTGACCTGAGATGAGCTGTCTTGAGAATGTTTCTCACAGTGTGTGAAGAGACAGGGAATGTGATGGTGGAATTGATGTAATAGGTGACCTGGACAGCATTATCAGCCTTTCCTGTAGTGATATGTTGAATAATAGCCCTCCTATCAGTAGAGGTGAGCTTGGATGGACGCCCTTCACAGAAGTTCTCCTTGTCTGTGTGACTTTCTTTGATGAACTTGGCCACAGTGGACTTGGATACTCCAGTTCTAGAGGAAATTTGATAAGCAGAGAGGCCAGAATAGGAAAGAGAGAGGATATTATCCCTTTGAGCAGGGGGGGTGGCTTTCATGGTGAATATAACCATGACATATGGAAATTTTTGGTTTGTATAGTTAGATATGGTTTTAAAATGACATAATGACACCACTTTATAATTTATTTAATGGTGGCATGATTGTTATGGTGTCATAAATGATGATTTATATAGTTTTAATATGTGCTCAAAAAACTGTCCGCATGAGTCATGATTTTGTAAGCCTTGTATCTCCACCATATCTCCTCTGATTCTCACAATGTGGTGCTCAATTCAAAGCCCTGAAGCAGCACTACAATATGGTATCAGCATGTCACTGAGGTCATTATGTATTCTCACACAATATTGTAAATAGTAAAAAATGCAAAAACATGCAGACAGTTTTTTGAGCCACTGTATCTCTCAGAGGTGATTAGGTGGGGACTTTTTGATTCTGTGTGTGGAACTGAGGAAATAGTTCTCTGGGTTCTTTTGGATCATGAGGATTTGTCTTCAATGTAGCAGCTGGTGGTGGGTTTTGGAAGCTTGCTAATGAAACTTAGATAGTCTTATCAATGTTATAGTTGTTGGACCTTTCTGAGTGGACATTCAATCACCACGCTTTCACTGACAGACCCGCAGTGAGCCCCATTGTGTAATGACAGCCATTTGCAGAATGCTAGGCCAAAATTTTTTCACTACATACATTCAGCAATAAGTCAAGACAACAAACTTTTAACTTCTGATGGACAATCTTGATCTATAACTCGGATGGGATGATACATATCTAAGGAATGAAAGCAAGTTGCTCTACAAATGGGCTTGCTAAATGTCAAGGACCCAATGATTCATTGTTACACTGGGATTAGTGAGTGGTCATTGTGATATCTTTGGAAGGCATATTGGGAGACTGGTGAAGTTGTGAGGACACTGGTTTGTGCAGGTTGACCCCACATCCTTGATAGTCTCAATGCAAATGTGAGTTATTACTTATTCTCAGTACTACTTATATGTTATTTCTCAGTTCCTTGAGGCATGTATTGAGCAACAACCAGATATTCTCCTCACTGAGATGCAAGATCAACTACAGGAGACTTGTGGTGTTGAAGTTTCAATTGTAACAATTTCAAGAACAATATGTAGGTGAGGGTTTACACAGAAGAAGGTATGTCATCACTCATGTCCTTACTGATATGTATGATTCAATACAGCACTATCTAGGTTACATGTCCTTCTGTTGAATGTGATGAAGATGATCGAGCTGCCTATAAGATGCTTGTGGGGGAACATTTCTGGCCAGAGCACCTTGTATTTGTGGATGAGTGTCATTTCAACAGGATTTCCTTACATTGTGATTTTGCTTGGGCTCCTATTGGAAAGTGCGTGATGGCAGGATTTTTTCATACATGGCAAAAGGTACTTTTTCAGAAACTCTCTCATCAGTGCCTTGACATTTTGTTAGATATTCAATTCTTCCAGCTCTGTCACTTGATGGTATCCTCCACTTGGAGGTTTTAGATCATTTGTTCTCTGGTGAAGAATTTGGGGATTTTGTTGCTGGCGTATTGGACCAAATGCAGCCCTGGCCCATGCCAAACTCAGTGTTGGTCATGGACAATGCAAGTATCCACAAAGTCCAAGGTATTTGTGAGATGGTTGAAGAGCAGTGCATTATCCTTATTCCCTGCTCAAACAATAGTGATTTATCTTTTTTTTTGTAGTGGCATGCAGCTCCTGTACTTGCCTTCTTATTCACCTGATTTAAATCCTATTGAGGAGGTGTTTTCAGCTATCAAGGCATGGCTTTGGTCAAACCGTGACTATGTACTTGGGGAGACTGAGGGTCCAGCCTGTGATCCATATGTGTTGATATGGGAAGCTGTATATGGTATTGTTACAAGTGAAAAGGCTCATGGCTGGTACAAGCATAGTGAATACATTGCATAGAGAGTGCACTTTTTACTGATTTTGTGCAAGTACCTTGCAGGCATGTTGAAACTGCTGGCAGTGCTATTTTACTAAGTGGTTAGTTTGTATCACTGATTGACAGCTTAGGTCAGGAATTCTCCATCCCCCTCAGTCTTGTCATTGCTCTCATACTCATCATACTCACCACTTCCATACTCCAATTCTCCTTACTGCCACATATCATATTCAGTCTCAATAGCATGTTTCTTCCATTTGTCCTGAGTCCCTGAGCTAGGTGCCTCTGGCTCCTCTATCTCTGGCTCCTTGTAGGAATTGAGGAGTCCAAGGAGTGGCAGAACCATCTATTTAGTGAAATTGCAGAGGATTCTGGCTTGCTTTTGCCCCATATCACCAATGACACTCAACACATCCTCCGGTAAAAGCATTACTTGGCTTGACAAAACCACCCCTGCATCTAGCAGGGATGTTTCAAGTTCATGAATTTGCAATTCTGGTCTTTTGGCATCAATCAATGCAAGCAACACCCCAATTTTTGGATAGTCCAGCAGCATTGTGTTAGGGATCTGGGCTGCAGACTTGAAGTGGCACTGTTGTGAAAGCAGTGAAGGACTAGGAGTCTTTGACATGGAAGCTATGGTAGGATTGGCTGTTATATTTTGTATGGTGACATGGACTTCAGGTAATGATCCCAACCTTGAGTGATGAGGCTTTTTGTTAGCTGGGCCATGGTTGAAATTGAGGCAGTGAGGTGGGTTGTAAGTCATTGCATGACCAAGAGCCTAAGAGTATTTTTTAATTTTTTTCTGCAAGCATGGACATGAAACTTACAATCTTTTTAGCCCAGAGAGTCATCTTGGCGTGATTGAGATGATGATGGTTATCATAGCCACTGGTGTGATCTATGAAACAATGGCCATGGTGAAGCTCACACTGAATGTGGCACTTGAGCTATTTGTATGCTTTGAGCTGTGTGGAATCCTTGTCAATCGCTGGAGGAATATTGTCTTCATGTGTCCTCTTCTTCACTTTGGTGGTAGTCTGTTTGGCCTTGGAGTAACTGTAAGTAATTTTCGATTGATGTGACATAAATAATCACTTACTGCTGTATTCTTTACCTCTAAAGCAACAACTCATGTACACGCATTGGATGCTTTGTGACAAAGTTGATCCATAGTGATACTAAATGCTTCCACATCATTTAGGTGAGAAGCTTTGCTGTTATCACCTAGGAATTTATACACAAGCTGGACTTCTTCAGGAGCATCAAGGTATGCAAGAACACGACTTTTGAAGTCATCCCAAGGCATGTCAGTCTCACCATGAAATCCATGCTTCATGTCACCCATAATAACATCAATGTTGAAACTAAAAACTCCAGGGTGCAGTTCAGGATTTGGTCACAGTCTTGCTGATACTTGGGATGATGCTGGGGCTTTTGATGATGCCTGGGACAGTTCTGGGGTTGGATCTGATTGCATTGGAGGGTACTCTGGAGCTGGAACTTCTGGTTGCATCCTCACTGGTTGCATTGGAAGATACTGCTGGTATGGAGGCTGGCCAGTGTGAATGAAGTGTGGTGGCTGATGCTGCAAAGGTGGCAGATAGTGCTGCAGTACATGTGGCATTTGCAGATAATGTTGTATGAAAGGTTGCTGATGATGTGCTGGCAGCTGTGGATAGTGATGAGGATACTGATGTGGGTTGTGAATATTGCCTGTGCCAGACCAACTCAGAGGGGTACTTGACATAGTAAGTGAGGATGGGCTTCAAGTTTGTATATTAAGTGGTTCTTATAGTTTTTTTCACAGTATTACACCATAATATTTACATGTCCATATGCCTGCAGCACACTGTCTGTCAGGACAACAAATGGTTGCTATTTTTTATGAGTCAATCTTGCTGTTGGGTTTCAAGTGCATGGACCATGCTTGATAATATATATATGTGTTGGTATGAATTACCTAATTGCACATCTTCTCCAATCATATCACAGTCAATGATAACACCTGTAACTCCCCCAACAAGAGGCCTTGTCCTCCCCTGTCCTGCTTCTCCATCCAAAGCCTCTTTCTCCTATAAGATGACAGTGGGCAGTGAAGTCTCTGACAATACACTGAAATTGTGTGCTAATTTGTTCAGTTCTAACTATGGTATTTGGGGCAATCAGGCAGCTACAATCTCCAAATTTACTGTAGCTGGTCAGTAGTTGAGATGTTGATCATTGGCCATTGCTGAATTATTTACACAGGGAAACAGGTCAAGATGACCAGTGCAAGACTACAATCCCAATGTTCATCTCACCTGGAGAGTAGTGTTTTGGTAACCTGCTACATCCAAGTTGATCCACTTGAGAGTGAGCATCCTCAACTTTACAGGCACACATTTGCCACAGTCTGGGACTATGGTGAAAATAAAGGTAGTTATCTCAATTTATTGCAAAGCTCACCTTCTGATTTTGTTAAGTTGGCTGGGTGATGCAGCTTGTCGTTGATGAAGCAGTCCATCAGTGTTACATCACAACCCACCTCTTGCAAGCTCTGAAGTGCCATACCTTATTTGCCTGTGTTAACATTGTTGGTCTTGTCTTGTCTCACCCTGCTGCTTGCAATGCTTTGGCAAAATGTGCTGGTGAGTTATCACCCTCATTATATTCAGATGTTAATACTAAAATTATGAAGCTGCTAATATCAAGGATGTTGAGTTGGACTTCATTTGTCAATATGCAAAGGGCATTCTGGCATCTTCCCCCATTAGCTATCTAAAGGCCACTCAACTGAGGGGTTCACTCTTCCAAGACAGCTATGACAACAGAGCTATATCATCTGTGTTCACCAAGTTTTATGTTGACCACACTGAGCCTTTAGCAGTGTTAGAACAGTACAAGAAAAAAGGTCAATGGTGCTTGGATGAGCTTCTTGACAGACATGAATTTCTTGCTGTTTTTCCTATTGCACCTGTGAGCCCAGTTTGTGACAATAACTAGCATACCCTACATATCTAATCAGAGAGTAGAAGTTGAAATACCACTGTATGTAGTGAAGTTTTTTGGCCTAGTGTTGTAAGGATTCCATATTCTCTACACCCTGACCAAGCTTTAAAATGAAGACCAATGAACCATGTGGTCACAATCGTCGATGTTGTCTTCTTACTTGAGGTGTCTTATATAAAAGTGGTCAAAAGGCAATGACACCACAATTACACTTTTGATAAGACTGAATGCTGCCAACAGCCTCGAGTTTGTGGTCTATGACTTTTCTTCTTTTGTGGTAGATAATGCAGCATTCATGGGAGGTTACCTGCTATACAGTCCAGTGGTTTTATTCTACCTGGTTGTAAATAGGGGGTTCTACAATACAAGCCTAGCTTTATCTGGCAAGACAGATAATGTAGAGTATGTAGATAAAACTTTATCTAGTCTTGCATTTGACTAGACAAAATAGAATAGATTTTGTAGGTAAGTCTCTCTAGTCCTATGTTTGACTAGATAGAGAATAGAGTTTGTGGGTGAGTCTCTCTAGTCCTATACTTGACTAGACAGAAAATAAAGAATAGGTGCATACTAAGCACAAAACTAGGTGGAAAATAATGCTAGATATTCCCCTGCCTTGATATACTAAAGGACTTATCAAAGGGAACTAGGTAGAAGCTGATTGGATTTCCCTGCCTAAATGCAAAGGGTTTAATCCAAGGAAGATGATATGATAGAAGAGCAGATAATCCAACAAAGGAATCTGCAGGCACAGATAATATGGCTTGACTTGGTACTTCTAGTCCTCTGAAACTATAAGTCAGATGCACACTAGACAGCACAGGTACAGTCAAGAAAAGAATAAATGATCTCAGAACAAGTAAACCAAATGTACTTGGTCTGCACTTCCTGGCTAACACAAAGAGTGTCAATGTCAGAGAAAGTGGAAGAAGTGGAGGTTCTTTTAAATGATAAAAGAGATTCTTATTTTTTTTGGGTGGAGAAGTGCTCTCCTTAAATACATGAGATGGGAGAAATTGTATAGTACCAAGAAATAAGGTTGGAAAGAGAAATGACATCAGAGTTGCATCATAAATGACCTCATTGTGGAGCAAAGTGGAGCAAAAGTGGAGCAGAACATTCTAGCATCCAATGACATCATCATGACATCATACCTTGCAGGTACATTTTGTGGAGTCTCTGGGAGGTCAAAGAATCAAGTAGGTAAAGAAATGAAAGAAAAATATGAAGGAAATAAAGTAGAATAAATCATAAGACAGAACAAATCAAAACACTGGCTTTTTAGATAGGGTTTTGGTAGGCTTTTATCTTTTCTCCTTGGTTATTTCTAGTCAAAGTAAATAAGCCAAATGATAGGCAATAACCTAAGCTTTTGTATGACTATCAACTTTGACCAGGTCATTATATGATTTCTTCATCATATTTGACTTTTCTTCAACACACCATATTTTTGCATGATTGGAGCATGCAAAGTGAAATATTGCACTTGAGTCTGTACTCAAAGTACATTTTGTGTAGTCTGAGGACTAAGCTAACAGACTATGGAAATGTGGGATGATATGTCATATATATGTTCTGCATGATTCCCAAATCATGCAGGACAATGTGACTCATTGATGCAAAGAGCACAACTCTTCACATCCGAGTTACATGGATACATTCCTTTGTCTCCTTTGTCCATTTTCTTTTGTTACCTTACCTTGTGTTCAGACCTCACCATCTCCTTGTCTCACCAAAGTATTTTCATCTCGCCTTACACTTCATGTTCTCATTCTGGCCTAGTCAAGTATTCAAAAACATATATATACTGCTCATGTACTCTCCTACCTACAGCGAATCTTAGAGTCAGATCCCCACTCCAAGAATGACCAAAAAGTCCCCCAGAAAGTCTCTGTTATGGCCGTTTCCCAAACTCATTGAAGGAATCAACTACTAAGCTATGGCACTACAAGGGATGCCAAGTCAGAGTATATGTGTGGTTGTCTCAGCTCTGCCTAGGCTGCTATACTTTGCAAAGGCAAGTGCATTCGACCCAAGGGGAAGCAAGTGCAACACATCCACAGGTTGCACAAAGTGTGGGAAAGTCATGCATGCGGAGGCAAAGGTGTGCACAGAGAGTGGTAGGATGCGCGAAGCATGGGAAGGTCACACACTAATAGGTGAAAGTGCGCAAAGGGCTAGGAATGTGATGGGGACTAGGGGAAGATGATGACTGATACTGATGGGTGCGAGAATGACAAATGTGATGATGATAGAGTGTGATTGCCAAAATGCTACTGACTATGGCTCAAAAAAAAGTGTGCACTATGCTGAGAGATGCTAAGGGATACTAACTGGAAACTAAGTGGTAGCTAACTCTGTGATAAAAATGCAAATGCTATCATGCAAAAGGTGACTAAGCACATTCCCACGATGCGGAGCCAATGTGAGTAAGGCGCAGGAATGAAGAAGGTATATGTAAGTAAGGGTCTATGATGGAATATGGTGTCATGATAAGAGTAAATGTGAAAATGTACCAGTAGGACTTGGTGGACAATGGATGGATGCTCCTGGATGATGAGTGATGAAGCGTGGGAAAGTGCGTGGGAATGCATCGCAGGTGAGTAGCACATGCATTCCATGATGTGTGGGAAGATCATGCATATATAGTGTTAAGAACCATGCTCAAAGGAGAGATAGACTGACTCAGAGGGGCTTGGCCTCAGCTCATATGCTGTGCCCCTTACCTGAGTACGTGCCCTTCATTTCAGAGGAAGTCCGATGATGGTCCAATGAAGTCTGGAGGACTTCCAGAGGAGTGCAGGAGAGTTCTGGAGGAATGCAGGAAGTGCTCAGGAGAGTTCCCACTGCAAGGTAGTACTTCTACAAGAAATGGGATGGAAGGGTAGGATGTCTGGAGGTCTGGAGGACAGGAGGACAGGAGGACAGGAGGACAGGAGGACAGGAGGACAGGAGGACAGGAGGACAGGAGGACAGGAGGACAGGAGGACAGGAGGACAGGAGGACAGGAGGACAGGAGGACAGGAGGACAGGAGGACAGGAGGACAGGAGGACAGGAGGACAGGAGGACAGGAGGACAGGAGGACAGGATGTCTGGAGGTCTGGAAGTATGGAGGACAGGAGGACAGGATGTCTGAGGGTTAGGAGGATGGGATGTCCAAAGGTACAGAGGGTGGAATGTCTGAAGGACAGGACACCTGGAGGTGCACAGGACAGGATGTCCAGAGGTCTGGAAGGAATAGGAGCTACATCAGACAAAGTCCAATGTAGAAGCAAACAGAGGTAGACTACCCTTAGGTAGAGTCGAAGAGACAGGAAGTGGACCAAAGTCTGGAGAGAGGGTAAGTGCCGGAAAGGCAAGACTCCAGTCTAGGGAAGCAATCCCTAGACTTGGGACAGAGACATAGGGGACAAATCTGAAGGTCCAGAATTCCAGCCTAGGGAATTATTCCCTAGGCCTTATGGAAAAGGATAAGACTCAGACAGACTGAAGTCCAGAAGATAATTGGGAAGATCTAAGGTGATATTCAGACTGAGGACTCTACAGGAATTGTACAGGGGTTATATGTATACTAGAGGATATCCGAGAGGATCAGTAAGCAACAGAGTAAGGCTATGTACGAGCATGTGGAAACACATTGGTAAGTAAGACGGAACATAACTAAATGAACTCAGAGATGAAGACTTGTACAAGGATCAATCAGCAAGATGGAAACAGAGATAACTGAGAACCAGAAAGGCAGAGATGCCTAAATGGGGATAGGCGCAGGATCTCAGATAGAGGGCAGGAATAGGTCTGGAGATAGTAACAGTTAATATCTGGAGGTCTGGAGATCTGGGGATCTGGAAGGCAGGGCAGAAACAGGACTGAGATATGTGAGGTGGTGGATGTAGTCCAGAATCTGAGAGGAGGTAAAGTCCAGATGTCTTGCTGGATGGAATATGCATAGGGTGGACAGGATAGGGGATCCAGGAATGAGTCAGATATGGGGTCCGGAAATAGGTCGGAAAGCGTGGGAATATGATGGGATCTATGTCTGGCATATGGGATATGACAACAACTTACTACCATAGGTCTGCCAATATAATAGTCTTTGGAGATTCTTCCTACATAGTCTACCTATCTATTCCTTTATCAAGTGGTCTGCAATTGTGATAAATATTTTCAATATTATATATCAGACAAAGTTAGGTAAAGCCTTGTTATATTCTGGTCAAATGCCTGATGTTGTTCTTGAGTATCCATCCTTCTACTAAATGTCAAGTTTCATCTCAGTCTTCTCTATGATTGTCCTTCACCCTCAGGGGAGGAGCTGAGCAGCCCAGAACACAGACCTGCAAGAGACAAGCCCCATGAATAGTAGAATGCTACAAGTCATAAGTGTCAGTGGTTTTCCTTTAGTATGTACTGATGATTTTTCCCAAAGATATGCTGGCAATGCTTTATTTTATCACTACTGTGCTGTTTCATTTTGTGACAGGCTCCATGTCAGACACAATTGATAGTACACTCCTGCCCTTGGTTGAGGAGCCAAGCTACACAGGACACTTCCAGGACTCTGAAGAGACATACCTTGGTGGAGCACAATGCATCACTATTACTTGTATGTGATATATGTTCAAATTCAGTATGAATTGACAATCTCCCCCAAGCCATTTGTGCAACTGATCTCACTCTTGGTCACCAATGCACCGGGGAGGACCAAACACATGTGGTGTGCACACATGCAAATTTGCAAACTATGCATAAATGTTAAACTTCTATAACCAGAGGCTGTGGCTCTATCTGTCAAGGACTGACTACAAGACAGGACTCCTGCAACTACCTCAGGAATCTTGACACTCTTATGCTGGCCTGCCCTAGTACACCAATGGATCTCTGCTTGCTTCCATGTGATTGTAACCACTGAAGATGCTGAATGGCAGACTAGCAACATGCCTGTACATGTAGATAGAGCAATTGTTGAATGAAATGAGTGTGCTTTTGCAAGTTG